GGGGCCTAAATGGGTATCCGGTGAAGGTATATTGGGCATATACCTAAATATATGAGGATAAAATTAGTGTTCAAAATTTTCTTTTCAATTAAAATTGGTATTCAATTTATTTGACAAACGTTTATTTTTTTTAGGTTTTTTATTTAATTATTTTATGTAAAAAAATGTAATATTACCGTATTATCCTTTTAAAATTAGTCAAAGACTCAAAATTGTGATTAAGGTCAAATTTTTGGTCAACTAATGGTCAAATGGATAGTTTCCATTCATTTGGACCTCTGCTGCATGTTTATAAATGGTTAAGGACCTTCATTGGCACGAATTGAAGGTTAGTGTAAAATTTAGACTAGGGACCATTGGTACAATTTTTCCAAAAAAAAATTGGAGAAAAGAAGAAAAGCACTTACACTTTTGATAGTAAGATAATCAAATACTAACAGCTTTATCTTTTTTTACGTATTAGATTCTTAGTAACTCAGGAATAATCAAATTGAAAGCTGCTGCCGCTTTATTCTTCAATTCTCGTCTCCATATTAACTTTGCTTGTTTCAATTTTTTCCAAGCATAATAGTATAGCAGTCGTCAATAGTGTAATAAACAGCAATTCAATTTATATTATCGTTTTCCGAATTGAATCTTCTCGTGTTTGGTTCGATTTTACTAATCTTTGGTGGAAATTGAATTAAAACATAGTCTTTTAACTTGGTCTTTCTTAAAACTGGTTTGGAGTGCATTCAGTTTTCGGTTTTGTTTAGATTGCATTGCTTCAAAGTTGCTGGTTCAATTTTCTGCTCAGTGCGATTTTCGTTCATAGTAGTTTTCTGCCTTGCTGGATTTTTCTTAGTTTCTCTTGAATACCTCTTGTTCGAGAAGTAAGTTTGGTGCTGCTAGTCGCTCCTAAAATCTCTCAGATTTTGGGAGCTTCTATCCGATTTTTGTTGCTTGGACTGGGGCTCGTTCTGTTTGGTTTTTATTCCCAAGTCCTCGTGGTTTCTAGCTTGCTGGATATCGGTTTGTGTAGTTCTTTGGTCAGTTTGGTGGAGGCTACTTTGGCTTCCAGGCATCCCATTTTCACTACTTCTACTCGGTGTTCTTGGTGTTTACATAGGTTGCATGTTGTATGTATTGGTATTCTCAGATTTTTTGAATTAGTCTCTGCTCTTCTCTGCACCTTTTCTATCTTCTGCTATAAGTCAGGGGTTGGTGGCCGTTTTTTGCAGTATTGGGATTTCTTGGTCGGAGCTTTGATCATCGTTTTGGTCAGACTTCTTGCCCCTTTGCAGTTTCTATTTCTGGTGGTTTTGGTTCCCCAGGTGACACGGTCCACCTCCTTGGTTTTGGGCTTTTGCTTGGGCTAAATTTTCCCCTCAGAGTTCATCTTCTCAGTTCCTGTTGGGAGGCCTTTTGCTAGGACTGTTTTATTGGCTTGTTGGTATTGGTCCTTTTTTTATCCTCTTTGTTATTTATTGGGCTGCTCTTATTTCCTTTGGCTAATTGGTTTAGGCTCTTTTGGTGTAGGCCGACCGGTTTCTTCCTCTTGGTTATTGGATCTTCTTTGGCATGGGAAAAAAGAAAGCTGGAAATTCAAAATTTTCTAGGATGGCCCCACTTAAACCTCAGCTTGCTCGACAGTCTTCTGCTGTAGTTGATGTTACTTCCTCTTTGATGATCAATTCGGTGGAGCATAAGAAGGTAAATCTTCCCTCTCCTAGTGTCTCTTTAACTCTGGGTGAAGAAGATACGAATTCTGAAAAATCTGAATTTGAATCACATTCGGTGAAATTGATGAACCAAAGTAATGATGCTGATTCTAAGGTTCTAATAGAAAATAACGCACCATGGGTAAATCTTTTTAAAGATAATAGAAAGATGGAAGAAAATATCATGTTAAAACCTTTTGAAAATCAATCCGCAGAAGTGATCTTGGATATCTCGGATACAGAAAATATTGAAGACAAGTGGGGATATGGTCTAGTTGGATATTTCGCCGGTTTGTTTCCGGGGAAAGTGGCTCTTCTCCAACTATGTGACTCGTGGAAGGTGGATTATAAATATTTTGTGCATGCAAGTGGTTGGTTAGTGTTCAAATTCGAAACGGATGTGGATAGATTAAGTGTATTGCATGGGGGTCCATATTTGGTTTATGGGAGACCGTTAATACTAAAAGTTATGCCACGTTATTTTGACTTCGATGATAAGGACATGAATACTATGTCGGCTTGGATAAACCTACCAGGGTTGCCTTTAGAATTTTGGAATACGAATGCCTTGGGGAAAATTGTGTCTAAGGTTAGAAAACCCATCTCGACCGACAAGATTACGGCAACTAGAGGGCAACTTTCCTATGCAAGAGATCTTGTCGAAACCGATGCTTCTATTGAACTTGTGCGGGAGGTTGAGATTAGACTCCCAAATGGCATGTTGATGGAACAATAAATTGTTTTTGAACATGAACCAAAAGTTTGTAGTTCTTGTAAAGTGTCGGGTCATACTTCTCTTGGATGCAACATTAAACATGCTCGGGGGGAGGGGGGGGGGACAAAGGAAAGGTCAAAAATGTGGAATCTTCTAATGTAAAAATCCGGGATACTTATGGAACAAAAAAGCTGGCTGGAAAATCAGCCGCTAATTCACAGCTTCCTCAAACTGAGACAGCAAACTGTGGGGAAAAAATGGGCAGCACTCTGGGGTTTTGGATGAGCAACAAAGGCTACCTCTTAACCAAAATACAGAGCACTTAATTGATGACCAACAAGGCCAGATTCACGGTCAGGGTGAGGAACCGTTTGTTGAGGTCGTTAGCAAGAAAAATTGGGCTGTTTCGGTGAAAAAATGTGCTCTTGATGGGTACTCCAAATCTGGACCAGTTTCATCATCTTATCCTAATGAGGCAAATTCAAGTAATTTGAAAAATGAAAAGCTCAAAGGCAAGGTCAAGGAGAAAAGGAGACTGGGTTCAAAAGTTGACAAGAAGAAGGGTGCATCCCTTGCTTCTATATCATGAAGATCGCTTCTTGGAATATTAGAGGTATGAATCCACCCCTAAAACAAAATGGGATTCGAGACTTTATCAAGCAACATTGCATTGATATCATGGGTATTTTGGAGACTAAGTTGGGAGATCAAAAATTGAAGAGAATTTTGCGGAACAAGTTTGATGGCTTCATGCACGTAAACAATATTTGCACTCATACAGCCGAACAAATATTGGTTTTGTGGAATCAATCCAAAGTGTTTTTGGATGTGATGGAGGTTCATCCACAAATCATTCATTATAAAGCTACTTGCAAGGTAACACCTTATACCTTTCTTGTTAGTTTTGTTTATGGATTTCATACTTTGATTAGCCGGTGGCCACTTTGGAATAACATTATGGAATTCAACGCTAAAGTTTCGTTGCCTTGGATGATTCTTAGTGACTATAACAATGTTCTCAAATTTGATGAGAAATGTAATGGGGCAGACGTTACTCCTTATGAAATTAAAGATTTTGCAAATTATTGCCTTCATGTAGGTCTTACGGGTTTACGCTTTATTGGTTGTTATTACACATGGACTAATAACTTGGTTTGGAGCAAAATTGATAGAACAATGGTCAATGATATTTGGGTGCAAAATGGGGCATATGTTGATGCAAATTTCCTACCGTCCAGATGTCTTTCCGACCACTCCCCTTGCATTGTTTCCGTTTATGACCGTGTTGGGGCTGCTAAAAAACCTTTCAAGTTTTTTAACATGTGGACTAAGCATGAGGACTTTCATGATCTTATTCAAACTTGTTGGAACTTTAATGTGCAGGGAACAAAGCAATTTATCCTTTGCAAGAAACTGAGCAAACTAAAGGGAGCTTCGAAAGAGCTCAATATTAAGCATTTTGGGCACATTTCGACTAGGGCAAATGAGGCTAAAAGTGAATTGGAGGCTGCACAATTACAACTACATAATCAGTCCATCAATGAGAATTTTCAACTTATGATTGCTAAATTGAGAAAGAAAGTCGTTGGTTTATGTGAGGCGCAACGTAGTTTTTATTATCAAAAGGCAAAATGCATCTTCCTTAATCAAAGTGATAAATGTACAAAATTCTTTCACTCAGTTATTAAAAGGAACTCAGAGAGGAATTTTATAGCTACTATACTCAAAGAGGATGGGATGTATACTACATCACAAGATCAAGTTATTACGAAATTTGTAAAATTTTACACTATTTTGCTGGGAAAAAACTGCCCAACTGTGCCTATTGAGAGGGAAATTGTTACAAACGGTCCTTTGGTTTCATTGGAATAAGGTAACTCTTTGATTCAGGACATTTCTTATGAGGAGATCAAAGAAGCACTTTTTGATATTGGAGATGATAAATCTCCCAGGCCGGATGGTTATACTTCTTGTTTTTTCAAGAATGCATGTGGGACTATTGGTGATGAGCTTGTTGGAACTATCATAGAGTTCTTTTCCTCGGGTTGCATCCTTAAGCAAATCAATCACACAGTCATTGCTTTGATGCTTAAATCTGGTCACACTCTGCATGTGGGAGATTTTAGGCCTATCTCTTATTGTAATGTTACTTACAAAGTGATCGCTAAAATTCTTGCTTCTAGAATGAGACCTATTTTGGGTAATATTGTGGACCATGCACAAGCCACTTTTGTGGAAGGTAGGAGTATGATGGAGAACATTCATCTTGCCCAAGAACTCGTGAGGCAATACAATAGGAAAAGGGTTTCTCCAAGATCCCTCCTAAAAATTAATCTTACGAAAGCTTATGATTCAGTAAGTTGGGATTTTCTTAGAGATGTTCTTGAAGGGTTGCACTTCCCCTCGAGATTTGTAAGCTGGGTCATGGAATGTGTTGCTTCTCCAACATATTCAGTAGCTTTGAATGGGAATTTGCATGGGTTCTTCAAAGGAAAGAAAGGTCTCCAACAAGGTGATCCCCTTTCCCCCTTTTTGTTCGTGCTTTGCATTGAATACTTCTCAAGAATACTTAAAGCTACCACAAAATGATAGTGATTTCAATCATCACCCTAAATGTGGCCCCCCTAAAGATCACCAATTTAGCTTTTGTGAATGATTTGATGCTCTTTTCTAGGAGAGATGTCATATCGGTGAAAATTCTCATGGATTGCCTCTCAAAATTTGGTTTGGTATCGGGTTTACAGTTGAACATCCTCAAATCTAGTTTGTATACGACGGGGATTCATGGACAACTACTTGAGGATATCTTGCAACTCACAAATGTCCCAAGGGATAGTATGCCATTTCGGTATTTGGGCATTCCACTTGCTTTGGGAAAGCTAAAAGTAAGTTGTTATGCTCCCTTTCTTGACAAAATTACAACTTATATTGGTGCATGGAATTGCTCTTCTTTGTCTTATGCGGGCAAGGTAGAACTTATAAGGGCGGTTCTTCAAGGAGTTGAATATTTTGTGCTTTCTATCTTCCCTATCCCGGGTACAATTATATCAAGGATTGTTAGCCATTGTCGAAAATTCCTTTGGGGATCTAAAAAGCCTTTGGTTACGTGGAAGGATCTTTGCCTTCTGAAAGATGAAGGGGGCCTCAGCTTGAAGGACAAGAGTTGGAATTTAGCGTTACTTGCTAAATCCCTTTGGAACATACAATGTAAAAAGGACACACTATGGATTCGTTAGGTTCACTAAGAGTATCTTAAAGGGGCTTGCATTTGGGAGGTTCGTCCTAAAAAGGATAACTCTCCACTCTTTAAAAAATTGCTGAAATAAAAAATCTACTGCTTCAAAACCTTGCTAGCCCTCAATTTCTTGCACAGGGATAGGTTTGGCATGCTCAAAACGGGGGACAATATCAGCCGAATCTAGACAGTCTGCTAAGTCTGGCGAATGCTCAGAACAGGGTGCCTAATCTGGGAGACAATACAGACCGAAGACATGAAATTCTAGATAGTTTTATGGGTTTTCCATCTACTCAAAATGGGGACCGAAAATAGGGATTTTTGGATAGTTTTTTCGTTGGAGATAGAGGCCCTAAATTCAGCACAAAATCAGTATATGATTTCTTCAGGCTGAGGGGTACAAAGAAAACTTGGGCAATCGATGTTTGAAAACCTTGCATTACTCCAAAACACTCCTTTTTTGCTTTGGTTAGAGGTCCAATCAAAGCTCCTAACAAAAGACAAACTATATTTCCTGGATATTGATCACAAGTGTGATTTTTGCGGGCATATGGAGGAAACAGTTCGTCACTTATTTTTTAAATGTTCTTTCACTTCGACATTATGGGGGAATATTAGACAGTGGCTTGGAATCAAAATATCTATGTCTACACTTGCTAGCGCTCTTAAGTGGTTGAAAAAAGAAGGCCCGAGCGACTTCATGGCTTAGCAAGGCTAAGCGGATTGCACTTGTAAGCATGGTCTACTACATTTGGTTAACACGTAATAGAAAGGTTTTTGAAGACCTATCACCTAATTTAGATTGTATTTTGAGACGGATCAAGACACACGTATACAAAGTTATGTTCTCTTCGTATCCGGATGTCTTGATCCATTTCGAGTCTTTAGTGTCGGGTCATTGATTTTCATTGCACTTCATTTTTTTTTTGTTTTACTTGGGTATTTCCGGAGTAATTGTATGTGATATTGGCTTTTGATTCACTCGGGAATGCCCGATGTACTTGCACATGAAATATTTTTTATCAATGATATTTATATTTACCGATCAAAAAAAAAACAATGCTTTATTATCTCCTTATCCACACACCCTCTAGAACCCCATATTAAGAAGAAATAGTAATTATTCAGTTTTGAATTGCACCAGCATTGAAATCCCATTGCCTAAAAAGCGCATTAATTCTCTAAGCTTTTGCAATTGCTCTGTGGAAGACGAGTAATTGAAATACATCGAAGTTAAGGAAATCGATGTCGCAACTCTCAAGAACCTCTATGTGCAGCAGCGAAGCCAAATATTTGGTTTATTTGGGCATTATATATATATATATATATATATATATATATATACACTCTAAAAACTCTTATTTTAGTATTTAACTCTCATCCTACTTATAATTTGGTTGGTCAACTGAGGTCTCTCGAAGATTGTTTCTATTTTATGGTTCATATTTTTTTAAACTACGTTACTATGAACTTTAATTCAACTATTACAAGTTTTTTATATCTTTTTAAATGAGATATCTAGTCACAAGACCCTTTTGATATGTCTTTTTCTAACAAAACTTTTTCTATGCTTCTGAAGTTTCCAACAAATACAATGGCAGACACACATTGGGTCCTGATGGATCACGTGACCCACCAACTTTCAACATTTTTTTTGTAAGCACCTGTTTCTTTGCAGTCTGACATGTACAAAATGTTCTAGAACAGATAAACGATGCAAACTTTACAGATATGATGGAGCCCTAATTTGTATTGAAACTAAGAGATAAAATCTTGAACAAAATATGCATGTTTGTGGAATAAAAGACTAATGAATTCAATAAAGTATGTTGTTTCTTGAGAAATGAATAGGAGATTCGGGTTTACTTACATGGATTTACATTTCTCTATGAGTATATTATTACTTAATTTTGTTAGGAGAATTATAAAAAAATGTCACTTTTTTTGAAAATGCACCAAAAATTTGCATGTGCACCTAATTTTATCAAAACTGTCACTTTTTTCAACTAAAAATGTCCAACTTACCCTTCATTTCCTCTTTTTAGGAGCATTTAATGCTAGTTTTCCAATCCAATTAATGTTATGATTTGATTAGCTAAATTTCTATATTATAATCATGATTATTTAAATTTACATATTATAATCTATGGATTTATGTATATTCTATTGTCTAATACGAATTTACTAAAAAAACAAGAAAAGATACAAAAAAAAAGTACAAAACCCTATTTTAACATCAACCAAATCTCTTCTTCAACCAAACTCTCACTTCATCCTTCTTCTTCATTCCTTGATCAAGAAGACACAACTATTAGATTCATCAGTCATTTTAAGAGGTTAGTTATTACGAATTGTTTATATTTTTATTGAATAGTTTTCTCTTTTTTAAATGTTAAAAACAACATAATCATCAAAGTGAAGAATGATTTTGAAACTCTTATTAATCATGATACTCTTGATTTGTGAAATATTTTTGAAGGGAGAAGATACAAATAATAATAATAATAAATAAATAAATTTCCAAAAAGATTTGGGCAAAATTTAAGTATGACATTCCATATCTAATGAAGCATTCAGTCATTTATTTTTGGACAGATACTGTGATGATGTAGTTGTTGTAGTTGAGAATTCATTATAACCATTAATATTTCGAACAAGGTACCAAACACATCTGAAGCTTTTCGATAGTTCCGACAATTGAACTGTCGAATTAGACATTTTAACTGTTGAAAACGACATATGAATATTGTTGACGCCTTTCATTTCAACTTATTGTTTTTGCATGGGTTTAAATATTCGAAAGTGCCACTTCCATGCTATTACATATCGACATATTCATTGTACAAAATTCTTATCATTCTAATCTCAATATTTCAGATATGGACAATCATTTCAGATTCATCGTGTCATATGAAGGAAAGTTCATTCACGTGGATGACGAATGGAAGTGGACAAGGGAAAAAACCACTTCCATTTTAGTGCCGAGAAATATTATCGTAGCAGACTTCTGTTACTGTTGAATGACAAACTTGGTGTTATTAATCCATGCACCGAAATTGAATTGAAGCTTAGAGTCCCGAACTTCAATTTACCATCGGCCAAAATACGTGAAGATGAAGACCTAATTTGGTACAAATCTGTTCATCCGAAAACTGCCCTCTACATTACTATTTTGGAAACTGATTTGCCGAGTGTTGACATGGGGAGAGATACAAATTTGCATGACCCTTTGTTCGGAGTAGCGAATGGTTCCCATAACGTACAACACAATGACATCCCACATGAGCCTAGTGCTCCAAACAATAATGTAGCCGATCGTCTAATTGAATACGTTAAGGCTGTACCATTAGATGAGATGTTGGACGACCCGTTACATGGTACAAATGATGCTAATGTTACAAACGTTGATGAGGGAATGTCATCACATTCCCAGAGTTTGGATACATACCAATGGATTACAAATGTAAATACATTCGATCTTGTTGAACGGCAGATATTCTTCAGCAAGAAAGAACTGTACTCGAAAATTCGTGTGCTTGCTTTGAAGGACAAGTCCTTTTTAAGGTCAGTAGGTCAAGCCTCAAAATGTTAACTGCTGTATGCGCAGATGATAATTGCAAGTGGATGTTACGGGCTTCGAGTATGAAACAGTCTGCAATATTCATGATCCTTAAATTCGACAATGTGCACACATGTTCCATAGATTTTCATCTTAAGGCACATCGACATGCCACTACTTTTGTAATTGTCGAGCATATTTTGGAAAAATTGGATAATCCATACCGATCGTACGATCCTACCGCTATTGCACGTGACATGGAACACGAATTTGGTATGAAAATAAGTTACCAAAAAGCACATAGGGGCAAAGTGGCTGCTTTACATATGCTACACGGTACACGAAGAGTAACCCTGGGTGAGTAACTCACATTAAAGTTGATTTCCGTAACAGGTTTCATTACTTTTTCCTGATTTTCGGTGCAAGCATTCGTGGTTACATGTACTACTTGAGGCCTATTATTTGTGTTGACGGTAGTCACTTGAAAGGTCCATACAAAGGTACACTTCTGCTGACAATCGGTCAAGATGCCAACAAACAAATTTATCCCCTAGCATGGGAAATCATCGATGCTGAAATAAATAGATCGTGGATGTGGTTTTTATCGAACTTGAAAGAGTTTATAAGCGACTCGGATGAATTGGTTTTTGTTTCCGATAGTAAAAACGGTATTTCTAATGTCATTGCTCACGTATTTCCTCTGTCTCACCATGGGTACTGTATTTGACATCTGAAGAAGAACTTAATCCAACGGTACAACAACGCAAGTGTAATATTTCTATTCAAATGAGCTGCAAGAATTTCTCGGGTCAAAGAGTTCGAAAGACTTATGGGACAGATCCGTAGGGTCAGTGAAAGAGCGTATGGGTACTTGGAGCGAGCTAGTTTTTCATTTTGATCACGAGTACTATTCTTTGGGCAACATTACAACACATTGACAAACAACAACGCAGAATCTTTGAACTCAATGTTGAGACATGCACGTTCATTGTCAATCACATGCTTGGTCGAACACATTCGGCAAACTATGCAGAAGTGGTTCTACGAACGTCAAACCAATGCAACCACATGTAGTGTCGTGTTGTCATCGAGGATGGAAAGCGAGTTATGGACAACCTTCAAAATAGGTGCAAGGTTTCGAGCTCAAGGCCTGGCAGACAACTTAACACAAATTGGACTATCCAATGACACGGACATCATGGACTTTTCCGATAACACGTGCACTTGTCGTGAGTTTCAACTTAATCGTATGCCATGCATTCATGCAAGCCATGTTGCCTGCTTGCGAGGTAAGTCATTGTACGATTTATACTCACCATATAACACATCGAAATACTGGAGGGGTGCCTACATCGAAGCAATCTATCCAGTTACGCGTGATGTGGACTGGATTGTCCCGAACAAAATTACAGGTACTCCTATTCTGCCACCAAGTGTACGTCGTCCTCGAGGTAGACCACTCACACGACGTCATCGATCCAGATACGAGTCTACCACACGACTGAGGAAATACACCCGCTGTGGTAAAGTCGGTCATAATCGAAGCACATGTTCAAACTCCTTTCTAACTCGGCCCATTCAAATAGGCTTTACTCTGTGACTGATCGAAGTTGTATGTTTACTTTTTACCGATGTCATTTGTACTAAACCAATACAGTTATTATAATTTTG